GCCTCCCGAGTGCTGGGATTAAAGGCATGCGCCACCAACACCCGGCAACTTTTTGTTTTTTATTTTTACATTTATTTTGTGTGTGTGTGGTGTGTGTGTGTGTGTGTGTGTGTGTGTGTGTATGTGTGTGTGTGTGTGTGTGGTGTGCATGTGTGTGCAGTGTGCATGTGTATGTGGTATGCATGTGTGTGCAGTGTGCATGTGTGATGTGTATGTGTACATGTGTGCGTGGTGTGTGTGGTGTGCATGCATGTGTGCGCTGTGTGTGTGGGTGTGTGCATGTGTGTGGTTTGTGTGTATGTGTGTGTGCGTGTGTGTGGTTTTTTAGTGCATGTGTGTGGTCTGAGTGTGTGTGTGCGTGTGTGTGATGTGTGTGCCTGTGTGTGTGCGCACACACACACACATGAGCACATGGAAGTAAGACTATTTATAGGAGACAGTTTTCTCCATCATGTGGGTTTCTGAGTTCAAACTTGGGTTGTCAGAGTCAGCAACAAATGTCTTTACACTGTTTTGTTTTTGTTTCCTTTTAGAGACAAGGTCACATGTAACCCTGAGTAGCCTTAAACTTGCTGTGTAGCCAAGGCTGGCTTTAAATTCCCAATCTTTCTGTCTCTACCTTCCAAATACTGGAATTACAGGCATGTGTCATTATACCTAGGATAATTCTCTTTGGTTTTGTTTCTTTGGTCCCTTCTGATCCCCTGCCCCAAGTGGGGTCTAAGGGCAAGGACAAAAGTCCCAAGGTAATCTTTGCCTTTTAGGAATATTTCCACTCTGTTGTGACTTAGACGGTTTCCTCTGCTGGATCTGCCATCCCCAGTCTCACCCTGTCCACATGCAGAGCCCCTCATCAGCATCCTGCAGATCCAAGGAGGCAGAGACCCAGTGGATGCCCCTTCCTGTATTTACATTCTTTATGATTTACTCACTTTTGTGTGGACTGTATCAGGTATCATTTCCTGGAATAGATTACAGCATGAATATGACTTCATGTTGGATGCCCTCTCATTCTCTCACTCATGTGTCCTGAGAGACACCAGCTGCTATGTGGTGAGCTACTCTAGGGAGAAGCTCATGTGGCAAAAGACTGATGTCTGGCCAATAGCCACTGTCTGCCAACTGCAACACTACAAGCTGCCAATAGTCATCTAGACCAGCATGTCTTATGCCCATGGATTTTGGTGGTGCTGGTGTTTTGTTTTTACTCTATAATATTTACTTAAAAAAATTTTTTTTGAGACAAATCTCACTATGTATCCCTGTTTGGTCTAGAACTTACTGTGTAAACCAGGCTAGATTCAAACTTAAAGTGCTTGTAGTGGGAGAAGCCCTTGACCCTGGGGTGGGCACCAGGGAGGTAGGGGAGCAGTGGTAGGAGAAGCTGCCTGAGGAATAGCTATTGCAGGGTAGAGAAAAGTGGAGGCTTCAGAAGCTGCTGTGTAATCTTGTGCCCTTGTGCTGTGCGGTGCCACCAAATGTTTTTATCTAAGTTGTTCTATTACCAATAAAGACCCAGGCTGGGGGCAACCACATGACCTTCCTTTTTTGATCAGAGACCTAGCATGCACGTCTTTCCACACAATCCAGACTAAAAAGACCAGGGATCTCTGAGTCCCTCCCTACTACTCCTTATGCGTCTTCTCCATCCATCTCAGTGGGTCCTCTGTACTCTCTGTGGATGATAATTCTTGTCAACTAATCACAGGCTCTGCCCCCTGACCCAAGGTTAGTTTTATTAACACAATCTCAAGAGTTTCATAGTGAGATCAAATATCCCAAGAAACACTATGTATCCCTAGCTAGCCTGATAGTCACTAGATTCTAACTTAGAGTGTTCTGCCTTCCCTTGCCTCCCAAATACTAGGACTAAAGGTGTGCACCATGGTGCCCAGCTCTAAAGATTTATTTAATTTTAGTCATATGTATATATGCCTACACTTATGTGTATATCATATTGTGTAAGGGTGCCTGTAGAAGCCAGAAGAAGGTGGTGGATCCCCTGGAGCCACCCATCATGGGTGCTGGGAACTGAACTTGATCTTCTGAAGAACAGAAAGCACCCTTAACCACCGAGCCATCTCTCTAGCCCCACAATTCTAGAATACTTTACTGGTTGAGTACTCCTAATTAAAAATAATCTAAACTCTTATCATCATCTTAGATTTTTTAACATCCAAATGTGGGATCTGTGACAGGAATGCTCGACTAGTCCCACAGCTCCATGGGATGGGAATGCACAGCTTGTGCCATGGTTCCGCTGATTTTGTGGCAGGAAGTTGTGGAGTGGCATCAAGACAGAAAGCAGGGCATAGTGACTTATGCCTGTCATCTCAACACTTGATAGGTAGAGGAAGGAAGAACAAAAACCTCAAGGTCATCCTTGGTTACATCATGAGTTTGAGACCAGCCTGGACTACTTGAGACCCTATCTCAAACAAGAAAATAAAATGACAGAAAATTAAAACAAACTCTGGAGTCCTGAGAGGATCTAAGAAGAAACTGGGGGTTTTCCAGGTCCTGGAACCAGAACTCCCCTCAGGCCTTTATCTCCACATACTGGGCGGGGCACCCTCCCCCGAGAAAGGAGGTGCTAAGAGATGTGCAACCCTAAGGACACTATGGAACATAAAATGTCTGAGCAAGAAAGCAATGTTCTTGTGTTGCCTAATTTTGATTATAAACTTGATTGGATTGACAAACACCTAAGAGATATGTAAAGCACACTTCTGGGTGTGCAAAATTAATCCCTTGATGGATGCATGATATGTTGGTATTACTGGGAGATGGTAAAGGGTAGTTGCTGGGGCTTGGTTGGAGGAAATAGATCCCTGGGGAAATGTCCTTCAGGGAGGTATCTTGCCTGTCCTCTACCTGTGACCCTTTTCTCTGTTTTCTGTCTACCACGATGTGAACTGTTCTTCACCACGACCTCCTTGCTCCACCCTGACCTTCCTGCTCAATCAAACAATGGAATAATTAACAGTACAGATGCAGTCAGTTAAGACAAAGAGCACTAAAGTGGCAGGAAACAGAAGACAGAAAAAGAATTCTATGATGGGCCAGGCAGTGGTGGTGCTCACCTTAATCCCAGCAGAGGCAGGCAGACCTCTATGAGTTTGAGGCCAGCCTGGGTCTATAGCACAAGTTCCAGGACAGGCTCTAAAGCTACACAGAGAAACCCTGTCTCGGGAGGGAGAGAGAGAGGGAGAGAGGGATAGAGAGAGAGAGAGAGAGAGAGAGAGAGAGAGAGAGAGAGAGAGAATTTTATGGTGGAAAATTAAACCCCAGTGTTACTGGGAATGGGAATGCAGCTCAGTGGCAAAGCACTTGAGTAGCATGTGTGTGGCTTTAAGTTCCATGCCTAGCACCGAAATAAAGGAAAGGGCTTCCTACAAGAGGGAAGAGGGGATAGAGGGGGCAGGGAAGGAAAAGAAAGAAGCCCTAAGGGTTCTTGCCAAGACTATCTTTCTACACAACAATAGAATTCCCCCACTAGACTGTGAATTTCCTAAGGACAGGCACTGGGCCATACTGTATTGTATCCCTAGGACCATGATCACAACAGGTATCAAGTAAAGTTACTAAGCTAATCAGCATCAAATGAGAGGGAAAGACTGACACATAAAGCAACCATAGTCCAAGACCCAAGAACTGCCTGCCTGCCTCTGAGTCCCTGGGTTCTCTCTATGCCCAAACCCAGCCCAAACCTACACTTACCCGGTCAGTATCCTGAGGGCTCCCATGAGATGTTCCATCAGGGTTAAAATGGTCCCCACAGCTAAGGATGAAAATTAGCAAATAGGTATCCAAATAATAGCATCTAGGCCCTCTTCTCTGACTACCTTTATTCAGTCACTCACTTATTCATTCATTCATTCATTCATTCAACAAACAGACCTATTCCATGCCAGGATTTGGGCAAAGAACATAGAAACTAGCACATGGATTATGCCTTCCTTGAGTTTCTGCTTCAGGAGACACAGAGGAGTAAACAATCATATTACAGAAAACACCATCAGTCATATTACAGAAGACCGATAGACACAGGGCCTCTTCCTTCACTGTGTCCAGGAGTCACCCTCTATCTCAAACCTTGATTCAAATCCTCTGAGGTCTTTCATATGCCATGTAACCTATTTAAGCCTCAGTTTTCTCATCTGTACACTGGGCCTGTGTGTATGTGCCCCCACCAGAGTATTTTTGGGGACAGAAAGTGAAAGTGTGTACCCATAGAGATGTTACAGATGACTCACCTATTGCAATCCCTTGTGAGATCCCCATACTGATGGACGTGGAATCCATGCAGCCCAGGCTCCAGGCCATCAATGGTCCCCTCAATCAGGCAGAGTTCAGAGGTCAGCTGTAGGAATCGGACCACCCCACGTATGGTGTTAGAGCTCTCCACAATGGCTACTGCAGCTCCCAGATTCTCTGCAAGGTATGAAATACTCACTGTCTTTCCATCTCTCTCAGCCCCTAATGGACCATCCTGACTCCATTTCAGATTAGAAGTCATCTGGTTACAAGGTCAAAAAAAGTTCATTCCTGTTTTCTGTAAAACTTGGGTTTGACCATGTCTTGACCAGGTTTATGAAATTTCACATGTTTTACACCCTCCACTGTGATCTCCACCCTGATAAGATAAAATGTTCTGCCAAATAATTTTTATATGTTCTGCCAAGTCACCAAAATCCTTGGAACCCTCCTAGCCATGAAGTTTTTTTGACTATATAAGCCCCACTTTTTCCTATGTTCAAAGCTATTTCCTCAAACTCTGCTTTAGGAAGACAGCCCTATCGACCAGAAAATAAAGCTTTCTTAACTTGACTAAAATAATTTGGGTAATGGTCTTTACTCTCCTTCCATGAGATTGACACTGTGCTTCCAGCAGTTCAGGAAGGGCAGGGAAGGAACTCATATAATGTTCATATCTCCCAAAGCCAATCCAGTCCAATACTCAGACTCCCGGGGTTAGATTTACACCAGCTCTTGCTCCAGCCCTCCAACCCCAGAGGCCAAGGCCAATACTATAAGCAGTCACTCACGTAACTGGCCGCTGCCCATGCCCTTGAGTACAGCCTGCCTTCCTGTGCTTTCCAGGAGCGCTTGCACCTCCTGGCTGGGAAGAGTGGTCTGCACCAACACCATTTGGTTCTCCAATTGCACTTCTACACTCTGGACACCTGGCAGAGACAGAGGAAGAGGTCAGCAGAGGGCTGGCTGGCATCATGCGTTGGTAGCAAGCACTTCTCCACCCCCATTTCTACAAAGCTTCATATGACCAGAGGGAAACCTGGAAGCTCCCATCTGTTACTAAGAGTTTGGAGTTTGGGCGTAGTATTCTCTCTCTCTCTCTCCTGTGTGTGTGTGTGTGTGTGTGTGTGAGAGAGAGAGAGAGAGAGAGAGAGAGAGAGAGAGAGAGAGAGAGACAGATGTGATGTGATGTGAGAAGTGGAACTCAAGGCTTCTCACAACACTAGGCAAGTGCTCTATCACTGAGCTACACTCCAGCCCTTTTTTGTGAGTTCTTATTACATGTCAGATAGTATCTTACTTTTAGGTTTATTGAGGCAGGATCTTACTCTATAGCCCAGGCTGATCTGGAATTCAATATTTAGCCCAGCTTGGCTTTGAACTTGAGGTGATTTCTCTGCCTCAACTTTCTAAATTCTAGGATCACAAGATTTTTTTTTCATTAAAAGTGAGCTAACCTGTAACCTATATACAGGTGGAAGAAGAGAACTGATTCCACAAAGTTGTCCAGTGCCCTCCATATACATGCTGTGAAATGGGTGTCCCCCACTAAGTAAGCAAATAAATAAATTTTAAAGTGGACTAACTATATTAGCGTTATTAATGACAGTTGAAAGGTGAACACGACCCAAATGTCCACATGACAAGATATGAAGTGTAAACACACGTTGCTACAGCACTGATGAGGGTAACATGCAAACCAGCCACAAATGGCCACATATCGTAAATAATATAGACAGGAAATAGATCACAGAGGACAGGGTTGGAGAATAGGAAGGTGATAGAGGATACAGGATTTCTTTAGACAGTAACAAATATATATATAACCAATAGAGGCGATGGCTGCATAGCTCACTGAATGAACTGAACTGTATAATTCAAATGGGTAAATTTTGTAGCATGTGAATTTTAGCTCAACAAAACTGTTACACACATTAAGAAAGGGAGGATCAGCTGGGTGGTGGTGATGCACACCTTTAATCCCAGGACTCGGGAGACAGAGGCAGGTGGATCTCTGTGAGTTCAAGGCCAGCCTGGCATACAGATAGAGTGCCAGGAGAGGCGCCAAAGCTACACAGAGAAACCCTGTCTTGAAAAACAAAAACAAAAGAAAAAAGAAAAAAGAAAAAAGAAAGGAAAGAAGGAAAGAAAGAAAGAAAGAAAGAAAGAAAGAAAGAAAGAAAGAAAGAGAAGAAAGCAGGGGGAGAGCCACTGCTCCACCCTGTCCTCTGCAAGAGCAGCCAGTGCTCTTGCTACTGAGCCATCCCTCCAGCTCATAAGCCCCTTTTTGATGTGTCTTACCTACATTGGTTCATTTCATGTTCACAGTAATCATGGGAATTTATTTCTGTTTTACAGATAAGGATATCAAGGCACATAAGTAGGTAGGTTACAGACTGCAACTCAGTCCAGGCAGCCTAGATACAGAGCAAAAACAATTAACCCAAACCTTCTACTCACCTAAGAAGAGCCCCTAGCCCAGGCTTCCTAGGACTCCCCCAACCCTCACACATTCTCCTATAATTCCGCTGAGCAATCCACCTACACTGGTTACAATCCTTTGTATGTTTTGGAATGGTGAGGGAAAATCTAAAGGAGATGAGCCATTCCACATTCGGCCAAAGCTTTGCCAAGATGTAGTAGAGCTTGCTACTTCCTGTAAAGCATTCTTGCTGGGAAAACAGACAAACGGGACTTCAGCTGGACACAGAGCAATTCAAGGCTTCATTGGTTTTTTGTTTTTGTTTTTCCGAGACAGGGTTTCTCTGTGTAGCTTTAGAGCCTATCCTGGCACTCACTCTGGAGAGCAGGCTGGCCTCGAACTCACAGAGATCCGCCAGTCTCTGCTTCCCTAATGTTGGGATTAAAGGTGTGCGCCACCAACGCCTAGCCATTCAGTGGGTTTTTTAAGACCAAAAAGAGACTTCTGATAACCATGTTTTCTGGTCTGAGTAAGTGAAACCAGTTTCGCTTTCTCAAAGCTGGGCAGGAGAGTTTCAGTACACAGAATACACTGAGTGAGACAGTTGCCAAGGCCTTGGGAAAGAGAGCCTTACTCTTCTCCCCCCAGGGAGGAGCTCCAACTTCACATTTCCCCTACAGTAACTGTGGCCTCTCTTTTGTCCTCACTGAGCCCTACCAAAGCCTGGCCTGGCCATACTCCAAGATCCACCCAGCAAACAGAACTGCTGCTGTGCTGGAACACACCACCTTCTGGTTCAGCTGAGGTGGGAATTTAAGAGGCATAGTCACAAAAGCCTTCTGCTCTGGCCCTCCCACATCAGGAACAATTCTTGGGTCTGGGAATCTACCCTATACCTAGGCCAGGCTATCAGGAAACCTTATCTGCTGTGTGTGCAAAACACATTCAGGCCTCAGCACTTATCTTAGATGCCTCACTTCACTTAGCCTGTTCAAGACCCCTACCTATGGGCTTTCTGTTTTCTTTGTTGACTCTTTAGGACAGTGGTTCTCAACCTTCCTAATGCTGTGACCCTTTAATACAGTTCCTCATGTTGTGGTAACCCCCAACCATAACATTATTTTTGTTGCTATTTCATGACTGTAATTTTGCTACTGTTTAGAATTGTAATGTAAATAACTGATATACAGGATATCTGATATGCAACCCCTTAGAAAGGGTCATTCAACTCCCAAGGGGTCGAAATCCAAAAATTGAGAACTACTGCTTTAGTATCTTTCCACATAAAAGCCAATGTGATTTTGTGTGTGTGTGTGTGTGTGTGTGTGTGTGTGTGTGTGTGTGTGTGTGTGTAAGCATGTAGCATGCACACATGTGTGTATGTATGTTCCTGAGTATGGGGGCATATATTTGGCAGCTATGCATATGGAGGCCATGTGTCATCCTTGATCGCTCTCTACCTTTTTTTCCCCCCAAGACAGGTTTCTCTGTGTAGCTTTGGAGCGTGTCCTGGAACTCTGAAGACCATGCTGGAACTCACAGAGATCTGCCTGCCTCTACCTCCCGAGTGCTGGGATTAAAGGAGTACGCCAAGAAAGCCCGGCAACTGCTCTCTATCTTTTATGTTGAGGCAGGTTCTGTCAATTGAACTCAGAGATCACTGATCTGGCTAATCTAGCTAGCCAGCTTGCCCTGGGATCCTGTCTCTATCTTCTGAGTGCTGGGACTACAGGTAGGATGCTACACCTGTCTGGCAGTTATACAGGTGCCGGCAATCTCACACAGATGGCAGCTATCACTTTTACCAGTTCAGCCATCTCCCTAGCCTCAGCATACATGCAAGCAAAATACACACACACACACACACACACACACGCAAAACAAATTAAAAAAAAAATAAGCCTTTAAAAAAAATCTGCCCCAGACCAGCCAAGTAGCTCAACAGGTAAACTATTTTTAGCACAAGACTGACAGCTGGAAGCAGAAAAACAACTCCACAAAGTTGTCCTCTGACCTCTACATGCACAACCCCTCTCCCACAAACACATCATACACTAGTAATAAATTAAAAAATCAGTACCAGGGTGAGTGTGGTGTCGCACACCTTTCATCTCAGCACGAGGGAGGCAGAGGCAAGCAGATCTCTGAATTGAAGATCAACTTGGTCAGGAAAGCCAGGGCTATGTATACAGAACTTGTCTTGAAAAAAAGGAAGGAAGGGCTGGGTGTTGGTGGCACAGGCCTTTAATCCCAGCACTGGGGAGGCAGAGGCAGGTGGATCTCTGTGAGTTCGAGGCCAGCGTACAGAGCAAGTTCCTGGATAGGCTCCAAAGCAATACAGAAAAACCCTGTCTCGAAAAAAAACGAGAGAGAGAGAGAGGGAGGGAGAAAGGAAGGAGAGAAAGAAAGAAAGAGGAAAAGAAAAAAATCAGTTCAGAAGTCTCCTCCTAGCTCATCACCTCTGCCTGTAAGCCTTTCCTCTTTATTTTTATTTATTTATTTATTTTGGTTTTTGGAGACAGGGTTTCTCTGTGTAGCTTTGGCGCCTATCCTGGCACTTGCTCTGGAGACCAGGCTGGCCTTTCCTCTTTATAAGCCCCTGAGATTAACTGGGCTCTCATTACATGCTCAAGACTTACATCATCTAATTCATTCTTCATGACAATCCTGAGTTATGAATATCATTTAATATCAAACACTGCAGAAACAGAGACATAGAAAGTTTGAAGTCATTGTGTTAGTATGTAGCAAAGAGGGCATTTGAATGCAAACAGACCTAACTCTAGAGTGCATCTGTCTCATTACTGCACACACTGCCCCCAGCCCGGTGTCTCTGCTTCTAATCTCCTTGCTTTCCATTCCCACAATGGCTTTCCAATTAAGTGCTCTGTGAATGATCTTTTGGCAAAGCAAGTATGAACTCTACCTGAGCACAGGGGTAAAAGTTTTTCCTAGGAAGCCCCCAGTCTAATCTATACTTGCTGAAAGGTTAGGTGAACATTTAACAGACTTAAAAAAAAAAAAAAAAGCCAGTTTTCAGTGTCCTGAAGATGACTCTGCCTTTCATCCTTCTAGTTGTGCCATATGACCTGCAAACCTCTTGGCTTAAGCTCCTAAATTGGGAGCTGTTTGCTTTATCAGAACCATGCTGTTTCCCAAGCATGACTTCAGGTGATCCCCAGAACGCCCGGATAGGAGGAGCTTCGGAGGCTCAGCTCAGAACAGGCAGAGTTAGTAGAGTGCTCTGGCAAGGCAAGCTTGAGGCCTGAACTCTAGGCTCTGCCTCTGTGTGGCTCTGAGAAGTTTCCTTTCGTTCTCTAGGTGTCTTTCTGGATTTGTACAACGGGAATACGGCTAAACACAAACCTCTGGGCTGAGCCCACAAAGGTTTATTCTGCTCCTACCTGCCACCCCTTTCAGGGTCTTGTGCACCGCGTCCACACAGCTCTGACAGGTCATCTGCACTGCAAACTCCAGCTGTAAGGGCAGCAGGGCCAGGATACATGTCAGGCACTATCCTGATTCACCACCTTCCCTATGACGACGCTGGGCGCACGTCGCATATGACTTCTGTTCAAATTCCTTCTTCATTATCTCATGAGCATTCCAGTATGGTGGTCTCACCCTCCCACACCCACAATGCAAGAAGCATACCTATCCTAACCCCGGGATTTCATCCCTCCCCAGGAGCCTGCTCTTTCCTGGCTTCTCAAGATAACGACCACCCCAAGGGCCGAGCTATGCGAGGCTCCACGCGAAGCTTTCACTCACCGCACACATGGTCCCACCGTCCCGGGAATCCGAAGCCATCCTGGATGTAGTCAACCGCCTGGGCCGCAAAACAGTTAGGGTCCAGAGAGCAGGGCTGCTCAGACTTGTGGGGTGGGCGGAGCCTCGGGAACCACCCTTTGCTCCACCTCCTTGGCGCGTGCGCATGCTATGCCCAGGCCTGCAGTCCACCCAGTAGGGGCTACCGGCTGCGCAGGCGTATTGATGCCATTGGCTCTGGTTTCCTTAGTAACCATTTGGCGTCCTCTGCCGGCTCAGCGGGAGCCGCCGGCGAAAGAATGGATTTAAATAATCAAGAGCCTGACCTCAGTCCGATTTACCACCGGTTGCTGAGTCCACTGTCGCTCTTCCCCCGGAAGGTGACGACGCCTCCAGAGCCTCCAAAGGGCCCCCCGCAGAAGTTCTCGCCTTTGCAATCCATCCCGTTGGCGAAGCTAAAAGTGGGGCAGCTGTGCCGCCTGGTGTCCAAGCGGCTGGCAGGCAGTGGGCGGGCGGCGCGGGTGACTCCCAAGGATCGACTCCGTCTCACCCGGGTTATCCTAGAGGAACTGAAGTGCAGCTGGCAGGAACCTCCTACTGAACCTATTTTGAACTATGAGAACAACCAGAAGCTGCGGAAGAGGCTGGAGTCCTACGTGCTGATCTGCAGTGAGCAGCTCTTCATACGCTACCTGCACCTGCTGGTGATCCTGCCGCCCACTAGAAAGGTCTTCACTGAAGCAGCCATCCTCAGCCGGTTGGTAGTCAACCTTGCCAGGGATTGCACAATTTTCCTCACCAGTCCTGATGTTTATCGCTTCCTGCTGGCTGATTTTCAGACATTGCTGAATTTAGAGCAGACCCCGGGGAGCATTTCCAAGCTGCGACCCCCAGCCTGCCCCCCTGGGACTTTCAAACTCTGTCCAATCCCCTGGCCTCACAATACCGGCTTGGACCAAGTGCCTTGCTCTAGCCTAAACCTGACCTACCTTGTCCAACTCAGCCGTCCATATGATTTCTCCAGTGAGCCGGAACCTGATCCAGTAAAGGAGTTAAAATCCATCCCCCAGCTGAAGGGTATAAAGCAGCTCCTCTTGGTGCCCTGCACGAAGAAGGAAAAAGAAGTTGAAGTTACTCCCTCAGCGATGACACCACTGCCTAGCCATTCTCCTGGCGGCAGTGAGATTTCCCCCTTCCCCACTTCCCCAATCTACCCCAGGCTCCCCAGGGGCCAGTCCATGCCCTGTCTTCGTGAGGGGTGGAATCTGGCAGATGAGTTGGGCCTGCCCCCTCTCTCCCCTCATCCCCTCACTCCACTGGTCTTGGCTCCAGAGAGAAAACCACTGCTGTTTGAGGAAATGGTGGCTAAGGATCTGAAGCAGAAGACAAAGAGCATGGGAATGGAGTGGGCTCACTACCCACCCATGGAATTGGGCATGGGCCTGCCCCCACTCCTCGGGGTCCTTACCAGGCACCTAACTGCCCAGCAACACATAGAGAACCTGCGCCAAATGCTGAAGAGCCTGCAGGATGAAGAAGCCTTGGGGAAGTGGTATCTTCACCCCCCAAGAATCACTCCACTTTACCCACAGCCAGTGACTATTACTGTCAAGCTACAAAATCAGGTCGTGGTACAAGTAGCTACTGTGCAACTCTCAGACAGATACTTTTATGACACTTTCCATGTTGAGGGGGCTGGAGTTCTGTACAACCATCTGACTGGGGAGCTGGATTGCAAAGCCATCGAAGAAATGGATGCTGATCTTCTCACTGGCAATAGCACCAAAGAGATATACAAGGAATTGATGACCCGAGTCTCTCATAGTCACTTATCTTTTGATGAAGGACCCCAGGTTGAGCCCTCAGCAGATAGAGATTGGTCCAACTACTTGTTTTCAACTTTTCTAAACCAAGATAAACAAACCCCGATCAATAAAGATCTGGTTGGATTTTACCCCAGAAGAACAAGCATGCAGCAGTTGCTCCCTGAAAAGAAACCTTCTCCCACAGTCGTCCAAATGCGCAAAAGCTGGGAAAAGCGACCAAACAAGGGTGTATGGGTGAACTGGTGGAATACCTCTTTGTCTGCGGAAGACTACTTAAAGTACCTCGACACTCAGGAGACTGATTTCCTCCATGTCATCTTCCAAATTCATGAAGAAGAGGTTCCTGTGGAGATACCCGCCCCTGTGAAACGGTCCCTGGAGATTCAGCACCCTCCACCCCTGTTGGAAGATGAAGAACCAGACTTTGTGCCAGGAGAGTGGAATTGGAGCTCAGTGTTAGAGGACAGTTTTATCTTCAGTGATAGAGGACCTGGGAAAGCCAGCATCCTAAACCTGCAGCAGCGTCTAGAACGACTGTGGGACGCACTGGAAGTCCCTGTCCAGAGCCGGCTGGACATGGTCATTAAGTACAGCTCCAAGGCACGCCTGCAGCAGCTACCAGCCTTAATCAGGGCCTGGGAGCGGGTCCTGAAGCCCATTCAGAAGCGGGAGCTGTTGCTAGCGAGACTGGAGTGGTTTGAACGTCAAGCCTCTGACCCCAATCGCTTCTTCCAAAAGTCTGATTTGATTCTGAGTCGATTTCTGGAGGAAAATCAGTCCCGTAGCTATATCCAAAGGAAGCTCAATCTAATGGAGTCTTCTTTGATTACCTTACTGAAAAAGATAGAGTCAGTCTTTGGGGAGCCAGTGACCTTCAAGGGGCGGCGCTATCTAGACAAGATGAAGCAGGACAAAGTGGAGATGCTCTACTGGCTCCAGCAGCAGCGGCGGGTTCGAAATCTGATCCGGGCCCAGAAAGCCTTCTACCAATCATCCATGTTCACAAGGGGCAGCAGTCAGTCTTTAATAGCTCCTGGGAATACTCCTGTTACCCGCTAAGGGGCCAAGTGTCCCCAAACCCCTTCCTCCCAAACACCCAGACACTCACACAGACCTCTCAATGGCTTTAGAACAACTATGGATATTTCTACAAAGGACTGAGAGTCTTTGTCTTAGCAGTCTAGATAAAAGGATTCCTCAAGCCTGGTATTCCATGTATGTCAACAGTGCTAGCTATACAATACCACCAAAATCCCTTATCAAATGGTTCCTTGGAGTTCATTATAACATAGGTCAGACAGAGCAAGTTGTAATTTTTAAAACAATTCAATTTAGTGTCACTATCTTACTATATTAATTGTCTGATTACAGCTCCAAATCACTCTTGTTTAGGCTCTCAATAGAATAATACTTAAGCACTACAGCTCTGAAATTAACAGCTGCAAGCTTAAAACATTCTTTACTAGATTTTTGCCTGTTAATAAAAGCACTTGGTATATCAAACTGTGTACTGAAAAGTAAGTTTCTGGGGCTGGAGAGAGAGCCTAGTGATTAAGAACATGTACTGCTCTTCCAAAGGACTTAAGTTCAACTCCCAGCATCACACCAGGCAGCTTGCCACCATCTGTAATTCCAGCATCTGACACCCCTGGCATCATCTGGCACCTGCGCATGACACACAGACACACAGAGACAGACACACACACACACACACACACACACACACACACACACACACACTTAAAAATAATAAAAACTAGCCAGGTGGTGGTGGTGCACACCTTTAATCCCATCACTCAGGAGGCAGAGGCAGGTGGATTTCTATGAGTTTAAGGCCAGCCTGGTCTACAAAGTGAGTTTCAGGACAGCCAAGACTGTTACACAGAGAAGCCCTGTCTTGAAAAACCAATAATAATGATAACAATAACAATAAAAGACGAAAAGTAAGTTTCCTTCCTACCTCCAATCCTCAATTTCCTTCTTTGAAGATAACAATTGTTACATTCTGTATTTAGCAAGTATTTGCTACTTTCCTCTTGGCTCTTTTGTTTTGTTTTTTGTTTGTTTTGCACTCAGTTCCAGGGAATACAGTCATCATGGGGGGGGTATGATGACAGGTACAGGATGTGGTTGGTCACATTACATCTACAGAGAAAGATGAAGGCTGAATCTGACCAAGCTGTTGTTGCTGCTGCTGCTTCTTTTCTTCTTCTTCTTCTTCTTCTTCTTCTTCTTCTTCTTCTTCTTCTTCTTCTTCTTCTTCTTCTTCTTCTTCTTCTTCTTCTTCTTCTTCTCCTCCTCCTCCTCCTCCTCCTCCTCCTCCTCTTCCTCCTCATCCTCCTCCTCCACTGCTGCTTCCTTTGTTTGAGACAGGGTCTCACTATGTAGTCCTGGGTGTCCTAGAACTAACTTATAGACCAAGCTGGACTCTTCTCCCCTGCCTCCTGTGTGCTTGGATTAAAGGTGTGCACCACCATGGTTGACCTATCTGTCTTCTTTTTATGCAGCCCAGGACCCTGTCTGTGGAATGATGCTGCCACATTTATCATTGCCCCCCTCAATCTAATCTAGATAAGCCATCACACATCTCCAGAAGCTTGTCTCTTTGGTGATCTTAGATCCTGCCAAGTTAACCGTATTAATGATGATGTCGTCAGTGAGTGAATTAAAGATCTCTTTATTCATATTCCACTGGCAATAAACAGACCATAAACATGTCACTAAGCACATGGAATAATATAGTGTTAGATGGTGGTGAGTACTGTGGGGGGGGAAAGAAAAATATTAAAGGATTGGGAATTAAGGGTGAGTAATATTTTAATAAAGATGGTCAGTACAGGCCTCCCTGAGAAGACAAAATTTGAGCAAAGGCAGAAGGTGAAAAGTAAATCCTCTAGACACCTGGGAAAACTTTCCTGACAGTCATTGATGACCTAGCTCTAAATCAACAATGCTCAGGCTGCTCCAGGAACAGCGAGGTGTCCTGAGCCAGAGGAGGAGAATAAGAGGAAGAGATGAACCAGACAAGGTTGTTGCAAGATGCCAAAAAGCAGGGCTAGAGAGATGGCTCATTACTCTCCCACAGGACCCAAGTTCAGGTCCTAGCACCCACATCAGGTAGCCCACTACCGCCCGTAACTCCAGTTCAGTTGGGAATCCAATGACTTCCGGCTTTCTCAGGCTCTAGGCATACACATGATGCACATAAACCCATGAAACTGAAAGGGGTAAACTAAACTCAAAGGCTTCACTTCTAATAATTTACACTGGGGGGAAATTGTATAACTGTGACAAAGCCTTAAGTTCCCATTCAACTCTTATTCATACTAGAGATAAATAAAGGGACTAGACCCTCACTCAGCCCCCTGCTTTAGTAGCCATGACAGGCTACAGAAAGGACATGTAGGCCTCTGACTTGGCACATGACACAAAGAAACTCCAGATTCCCCCCACCCCAGCCTCCTGGGTAATTGGTTCCTGGTAACTGTTTGCCCACAAAAGAAACTCCAGGGGAGACCAAAATCTCCCCTGTAGTCTCCAGGATACAGTTTTGAAAACTATTGGTATCTATGTATAACAGGCCACCTGCAAGTAACAAGACAAAGCCATAGAAACCACAGAATGTTCCCTCTCAGCACTGGCCAATGAGAATAATTGATACACACGTATTTCATGTCAAAATATGACTTTGAGAAATTCTAATTGTTGCCAAATGTCAACCAATCAGAAACCAACCCATACCTACTGAAAGTAATTCTGTGATGTAATTTTGTGACTTTTGTCTTTAAAACCTAGAAGTAGACAGGGAATGAAGGGACCAGTTCCCCATTTCAGGAGCCATAACAGCCTAGCACATGCTTGTCTGACCTTGCCTTGGTCACTAGGAGGTCAGATGCCTGCCTTGTGGCAAGGAACCAATCAGAAGTTAGCTGGTGGTGCTATGCTTTATGGCTCTGGGTGTGCTTTATGGACAAGTGCACAGCAATGACGTGCAGAGCAAAGCAACCGCCCTGGGAGGGCCTATGGGCCATAACAACTAGTTGACCAATCAACACAGAGCAAGCCTGGAGGCACACCAATCCTGAGCCTGTGTGTGCCCCTAGACACTCCCCTTACGCTTCCCTATAAGATCTCCATGTCTTTCCTAGCCATCTGCCATGGTGGATGGATGAAAGGATCGAGCTAACATGGGGGTTAGCTCGTGAAACAACTGCAGTAAAGCCTCTTGCTGTTTGCATCAAGTTTCCACCTCCGCATGGTGATTGGGGTGGCCACAGTCCTGGGCTGAGATCCTGGGGGCCTGAGCCTCCGGGGGTCTTTCAGGAACTTTGCTTCCACTGGTGGCCATTGTAGGCATTGTTTCAGAAACAGCCTATGTACACAGGAAGCATGTACGTATGCATAATATGTGCAAGTATTTATAGCTATACCAGTTGGAGAATGTCATACTATTTTCTCCCTGCCCCCCCCACTTTTTAAATAAAGTGCATCAAGTTCATTATATACTTGCTATACATAGGTATATATACTGAATGTATCCAATATATAATACAGTTGCTTCATTTCCTTTTTTATTGTGGGGCCCAGGTTTGCCTAGAACTCTCTCCATAGCCCATTACTTTACTCTTTTGAAAGTTATAGAGCATTCTTTTGTGTGTATGTTTTATTTAATTAGTCCTTTGTTATTGGACATTTTCAGCCAAAAAGAATGCTCTAAACTGGGCAGTGGTGGCACACACCTTTAATCCCAGCAATAGGGAGGCAGAGGCAGGTGGATCCCTGTGAGTTTAGGCCAGCTTGGTCTACAAAGTGAGTTCCAGCACAGCCAAGACTATTACACAGAGAAACCCTGTCTTGAAAAACCATTAAAAAAAAAGGAAAGTATTCATGAAGTTTCTTTCTTGTGAGCTGGTAAGATGGCTGAGCAAGTTAAGGTATTTGCTGTCAAGTCTGATGACCTAAATTTAATCTCTAGACCTACGTGGGTGGAAGGAGAGAGCTGGCTCCCACAAATGGTTCTCCGGCTTCCATGAACACAGTGGTGTGTGTGTGTGTGTGTGTGTGTGTGTGTGTGTGTGTGTTGTGGGTATATGTTTAGACCAGAGGTCAATTTTAAGAGTCCTCCACTTTGTTTTTGGGCAGGGTCTCTCATTGGCCTAAACCTCAGCTAGTAAGTCAGACTCAGGAACAATGATCCACCTATCTCTGCCTCCCCAGCCCATGCCTAGTTTTTTAGATAAGAACTGGGCATCAAACTTAGGTCTTCAACTTTCCATGCCAACACTTTACCAACTGAGCTATCCCCAGCCCTGAATTTTCACATTTCATGTGTTTAAAAGCTTTCTATTTCTGTAAAAAATCAATATCTCTTCCCTCTCCCACTTTTTTTTTTGACAGTGTCTCACAATGTAGCCCTGGCTTGCCTAGAACCCACTCTGTCGAGCAGGCTGGCCTTAGACTTACATCGATCTGCCTGCCTAAGCCTCCTGAGTGCTGGGATCAAAAGTGCATGCTCTCACACCTAGCTTCCTGCATTTTTTTTTTTGAGAAAGTCACAACGAAACCTTTATTGTACTTACATTTTAATCTCTCCAGCCCTATTTCCTCTATTTTTGAGGTTATAATATAATTACAACATTCCTCCATTCCCTTTCCTCCCTCTAAACCCATATACCATTCCTTGCTTTCTTTCAATTTCGTAGCATCTTTTATCATTAATTGTTATTACATGCATTTATGCATATGCACAACTTGCTTAGTCTGTATTATGTTATTTGCTTTTTGTTTGTTTTGTTGTTTATTTTTGACATGGGTTTCTCTCTATTGTACAGCTCTGGCTGTCTTGGAACTGGCTATATAGACCAGGCTGGCCTCAAATGTACAGAGAGAACCACCTACCTTTGCCTCCCAAGTGCTGGGACTAAATATCACACCTGGCTGAGCAACATTATTTATAAGTATGTTTTTAGGGCTGATAACTTGGTATTAGACAACCAGTCAGTATGCTGTTCCCTAGAAAAGACTGTTTCTCCCACTCTCAGTATTCCTTAGTTGCCTGTAGTACTTTGTGTAGGTTTGAAGCCTTGTGGGCTTTCCCTTGTTCATTTTATCGTGTCTCTTAGTATTGTCCTTGTTCAGCTTGTGTTTAGGGAGTCATGTTGGTGAGACTTCATGGGTATAGTTTCTAAAGTTACTAGAAGATACAATCTCACAGAAAACTCTCTGATCTTCTGACTCTTACAATATTTCCACTCCCTCTTCCAAAATGTTCCTTGGGCCTTAGGTCAAGGAGCTTGTTATAAATGTAGCCATTTGGAATACATCTCTACACAACCCTACATTTTGATTGGTTGTGATTTTCTGCATTAGTCTCTGTTAGTTGCAAAGAGAAGTATAGGGACAAATATTTAGACTGTCGATGGCTTAGTAAAGTAGTGGTTGCAGGTTGTCCTCCCAGGTCCATGACTTCCCTAGCCTGAAGTAACTGGCTAAGTTTCCAGCACCAGGCATTGCTTCCCTCTTGTTCAGTAGGTCTTAAGCCTAATTACAGAGCTTTTGGTTACCACCAAGGTTTACATGTCACTACTGCACCCTTAGGGTTATCATGCCATGCTTGTTGCTGATGTGGTGCATAGATACCATAGGACTGTTGTTGCCCCCCTTCTTCCTTCCATGGAAGCTCTTGCATGGATTCTCCTGATATAACATGAAGTTTGGTCCTCAGGAAGGAGGCAATCAGGTCGTTTCAAGCTCTGGGCTCTGTGTCTGAAATGCATGGTGTCTTCATCAATAGGGTCTTAACCTTC